CTCAATCAAGTGTGGAAACGATGGTGAGGTTGGTCCAGGATCGGACAGTGTTTCATTCTTCTGTGCATAGGGTTACTATGAGGTACCGACTCGATGTCACCTAACAACAACAACAATAACAACTGTGGCTCTATAGGATAAGCACTGGATTTCAAAGCACAAGGTTGGCATTTTGAGCTCAACAGTTGTTCTTCAGGAGAAAGATGAAGCTTTCTGCTCTGCAAAGATTTACAGCTTCAGAAACCCTATACTGGGTTGCTATGAGTCAGAACCGACTCCAAGGCACTGAACAACAACAGCAACTTACAAAATTAAATGTGCAAAACGGCACATAAAGTTTCAAAAACTGAATTGAAGAGATATAAACAAATGTACTTAGCCATTTTCTGCTATTACATATCTAGTTAAAATGTCTTCCACTTTCATGTTTAAGTTTTAGTATTAAATGTGTGGTGTGTTTTATCTAGAGAGTTAAAAAAATTGTTTTCAAGATGATAAATAACAGTATTGATTTCCTTCTACAAAAATCTTGATCTGTATTTCTGATAATTTCTTTAGATAAATTCCAAGGAATAATAAATAACAGTGTTGATTTCCTTCTACAAAAATCATGATCTGTATTTCTGATAATTTCTTTAGATAAATTCCAAGGAATAGGTGTACTGGGTTAAGCTGTGTGAATGTTTTTGAGGACTTTAATTTAAAAATGCCAACTGTAACAAAAAATACCAAATCTAATAAATTATCCCACTAATGTATAAGTGTGCCTATCTATTATACCAATACCACTTAATATTACAATTTTGTTACATTAAAAAAATTGTCAGGTAAAAATAGCAACTTTTATTTATTTAATTATTAGTGAAGTTAAGTATAATTCTGCATGTTTCCTGACAATTTTGAGACCCTTTCATGTCAATTGTTTATTTGGGTCATTTTTGTACTTCTCATACAATTTCTGAAAAACTTTTTACTTTGAATTGAGTGAAGGTTTACAGAGCAGATCATCAGCTTTACATTCAACACATGATAGACTTCAATGACTGTAATCCCTCCATGTAACATCAGTTATCCCACTTCCTCCATTGATTCTTCTTTCCTTTCCATCTTCTTTCGCAATGATTGTGGATTTTGTCCTTAGGTAAATGCTGCTCTTTTGATCATGAATTGTTGACCATTCCATGGTGTGCATGCTTCACTAGTGTTGCTGTTCCCTCTATATCTACTGCTGGGCTAAAATCCAAGTGCAAGGGTGAATTTACTTCCAGACTTGAATGGTGACTGAGATTTCTCCAGTCTCCTTCTGTCTAGTAAGCCCAGGTTTATTTTTATAATTTTGAATTTTCTTTCCTGTTTTCACCTATTCTTCTAATGTGGTCCCTTTCAGAATGGTTGGTAGTAGTAGTCGAGCACCATCTAGCTCTTTTGATCTCAGGGTCAGGGAGACTGATGTTCTCATGTTCCACTAGTCCACTGGATTAATAGATTCTGAATGTCTTCAGTTTCCATCATTCTTTTTTTCCCCACACAGGGAGAGATCAATAGTTGCTCCTTAGATGGCCACTCATGAGCTTTTACGATCCCAGTCACTGTTGACAAAGTAGGATGTAAAACATCTTTGTGAACTATGCTATGTCAATTGATCATGGTGTCCCCGAGACTATGGTCCTGAGCCCCCAGGACCAGAAAATCATTTCCTCAAGTTGTTTGGTAATGCTTAAGAAGTTTTCATAATTTTGCCTCATCTCACACAAATTTGAAACAAGTTTTTTAAAGTAGGGATGATAATCTGTTGTTTCTTAAGTTA